TGAAAACTGTTGGTCAATCTTAATTAATTAATTAATTAGTCACCACTTCTGTTCCCCAACACACACACAATGATGTAGAAAATATTCACATAATCCAGATGATTTAAAAAGCAAACTGCATTAGGCAGAAATAATCCAATGTCAGAGCATGAGCAAACAGCAATTCAAACTGACCACCGCACCCTGCATAGGCTTATCACTACTAATGATCTACAAGGTTGTGGGCCTACTACACGGGTGTGTCAGCCCACAAGGAATCTAGGTCAGTAGCGCGCAGGTGGCCTGATTATATGACCGTCTAGCTCATAACCCATAAGCCCCGCCCAGAACTCATACACAAATCGTAAGTGAGATGAGTGGAGTGGTCACTGTTTACCCAGTCGGTAACAAAGTAACAAAGGACGTCAACATGAACTTGTGACAGAAGCGTCGCTCGTTCTCCGAGTGGTTGCGACCCATGTTTTTGTTTTAAAAATGGCACTCGTCTTCCTCGTCTGATACATTTCGTTTTGTTGTCACCCTTTTGCAAAATCAGCACCAAAATAAAAATTACAAACAAAGTACAAACCACCACTGCCAACAATAACAAAAACAACAACAATGCGGCTACTTTGGATTGCCCCGTTAGACAGGAATGGTTTGGGGTTTTTTTCATCTTGATCAGTCCTGCCTAAGACGGCCACTTGTTTTATACTTTTTAAGAAAAACTTTATAGCCTATAAAGTTTTTATGTTGGAATGGTTTTATCATTTGAAATTCCAAGGAATTAGTGTCAAGTTTTTTTGTCTGTTTCTGGGGTGTAATCCCTTTTGTTGAAATGTTAAGAATTGTTTTTGTCTGTGTCAGTGTTCTTGATCAAACTTTAATGAAATTTCGAAAATAATTGACCCCAACTCTGTCCCTTTTCCTTTTTTTTTTTGGAAGATTGTGTGTTGCTGAGATCTGGAGTCAAATCAACATGGCAGATGGGGTGAATCCTGAGTCCTCTAATGCCAGCAGCATATCATTTGACCATCTCTACCAGGCTATCTTACAGTGCTTTGTTATCATTCTGTTTGGGTATGTCGCTGGCCGGGCAAGTCTTATTTCTGCAGTGCAGAGCACAGGCATCGGGACATTTGTATCGAAATTTTGCTTACCAGCCTTACTCTTCAAGAACATGTGTGAGCTCCAGTTTTCAGAGGTGGGTGTTTTGTTAACATTTTTTCAGGTACTGTGGCTGAGTTTTTTGTGAGTGAGATCAGACTCAAAATAATGTCAAACATATGTTGGGGAGGTTAATGTGGGTGGTCACTGGGGCATGTCCTTGAACAAGACAGGATGACCCCAGCTAAAAAACAACCCAAGGTACTGCACAGTGGTGATCAGCAATAACAGGTTTAGTGTCTGTATTGGTGTGATATTGTGTATTTTGTGTGGCGGATAAATTATTAAATAATTGTACGTATGCATATATATATATATTATGGTCGCTTTTAAGGACAAGTGAACTAACCCAGATTTGAGGGGTTTCCAGGAATCTTAACCTCTACATATAGGAGAAGTTTGATTTCATTGGTGTGTTATATTTGTTTGGTTATAGAGAAAACTATCTATGGCTTTTTAAGAAACTTAACAATTTTCTCAAAACAGCATTTTTCGGGATAGCCCCCTTGTGCTTAAAAGCGACCATATTTATGTACGGATGTATACCATAAAAAAAAAAGAATTTGCCATGGGGATAGATAAAAATTGAATTTTATTATAACTATTATTATTATTAAAATGATTATTTGATGATAGACTTGGTTGGTAGCAGTTAGTAATATGATATTTCATTTTTTAAATTATTATTCAGGTATGCGGTACAGACAAAATGTCCTTTTATAAAGAAACTGCCAGCCTTGCTGAAGATAAAAAAGTAAAAATAGTTACAAAACTGATTAGTCTTTATCTTGGTAGAAGGGGTTAACTTTTAAGGGGCTTATTTTTTTTTCATCTTTGGGGTTTCTGTTTTGATATGTTTTTCCTGCTGAGTTAACTTATTTTTCGGTATTGACTCTGACTTAAGTTATTAATACTGCAAAGTACTCTCTGTTCATCCAGAAACCTTCCGTGCTTCTGTACTGCCCACAGGTGAACTGGATGTTTCTTGTTGGAATACTGATAGCTAAAGTCTCTGTGTTCATACTTATTGCCCTGGTCACTCTGTTGGTCAAACGTCCGCTGAATTTAGGATATGCTGGGATTTTTGGCATATTTGGGACACAGAGCAATGACTTTGCCCTGGGCTATCCCATTGGTAAGTGATGTTGATACTTCTTGGATTTCTGTTAGGTTTTTGAAAACTGTTGTGGGCACTGAATTTATCAAATTTTTTGTATAATAAGTGTATTTGCATTTAGGATTATTAAATAGTTGTTTCATATACTGTAGTTGCCGCATGACAGGAAAAGCAAGGCGGCAAGTGTAGAAAGATGTCAAGTACAAACATTTGCCGTATAATTTTTTGGATTAAGTAGATATTTACATTTTGTTTCAAAAGTTTATGGTGAGGTTGTGTATACATGTGCAACTTTTGCTTTGATTTGTGATCTGTCATATATGTTTTGTTCAGACTCTCAAAAATAAGATAATGATGAGTTAATATTAGCTTGGCTTACCACTGTAGTGAGCACCAACATCATTGGAGTATTATGTATATGTATACACTTTTCATAATTATGAAATGTGTAACCCCAGCTGTGCGGGCAGCTGTTGCTGGCTGTTCCTTTGATGTGATATTTATAACCATCCTAAGAACCCAAGTCATGGATGGTAAACAGCTATTTTATTGATATTATGTATGTCCATCAAAACTGAAGGTATCTGACAGACAAAAAAATAATCGTGAAACACAAAAGGACAAGCTGCTGTTTATGGAAAAATCAATAGCAATCTGAATTGTGTTGGTACCTGTGTACTCAGAGAAGCTATACGATTATAATGAGATGTGGTAAGCTGGTGGGAAACAGGTGTTTGACAACAGAAGTAAACCTCGTAATCTTACTCAGGTAGGGATGAAAATGTATAATTTCTGCATAAATCTCTATTATAGCTCGCTCACTTGTGTCTGACCGGGGCGGTGCTACTGACTTAAGTGCCTTTAGGACATTCCCAAAGGGGGAACATTAAACATGTTCTTATGCACAGTAAATAACAGTAGAATTTGTAATTGTAAATGGGCTGATTCATCAACGTCGTGCTCATAATTGTGCCTGAACTTCAACAGGGAACTGCTGCTTTTTCTTTCCTAATCTTTACTATTGTCCTTTTTCCCTCTACTTCTTTTGAATGTTTGTCACATTCTTGTGACCCGCTATTTCCGGGGTGCCTTAATAGTCAAGGCAGACTCTGTGCTGTTGAAGCTAGAGAGGTGAGCAGTCTAAGTCTGATTCCCTGTAAGGACTTCCCTGTTGACATCCACCCCTTGGCGCTCATATGACTTTATGCAGTTACGAGCGCTGTTAAACTTCTACTAAATCAAACTGACCGTGGTTAAAACAGGATAAAATGAAGTGGCTCTGTTTAATCTTCTCAGATCTTTGCACAAGACTTTAAAAGCTGAATGACCAACAGAATCTAAGAGCCCATTCATAAAGATCTCTGTAAACTAAGGTTCTAACACTTTTTATTTTTTGTAAGCTTAAAGCAGGTAAAAAAATTGATTGGGGATTTACAGCAAACACTTAAAACATTTAAAAGCTGGCATATTTTCCTCAACACCACATTTTAATGTTCACTAAAGAAACACGATTCAAGAGACAAGAGAGAGTAATTTTCGAGACTCACATAGAGCAAGAAGAGAGGTCTAGACTCTCGTTGGATGAAGTCTACACATTTACACTGGGATATGGGGGCAGGGTGGTGTAGCTGTCTCAAAGTGAGCAATTTGTAGGTAAGGCTACTGTAATTCATTTATTTTAGTGATCCTGTGTGTGCATCCAAAGAGCGGTTTGTAATATAGGGCCCAAAGGGAAAAACTTTATTACTGGGCCAAGATTTTTTGAAAAAATAGTTTTGTTTGGTCGCTGGTCTTCAGGAGTGCCATGCAAAGTTTCATGGGCGGAGGTAAATTAATAAATGAGTTAGAATTATTTTAAAGCGGAGAGACCAAAGTGAGCAAGCTATAAAGCTCATGATTTAGACTTAATAGATAATAGCAAGCTATAAAGCTCATGATTTAGACTTAATAGATAATAGCAAGCTTTTGCTTTGGAAATCTTAAACTTTTGAGCTCTGGCCCTTTCAAGTTCAGGACTAATGTTTGAAGGATAGAGGTGGTGTGCAATCAGTCATGTTGGGTTTATGAAATGAAGCACGTTAAACTGAGCTGAGATACACTCAGCCAATACTATTTCTAGACAATTTGACTCTGCTTTTGCTAGTTTCTTCAACACAAAATATCGTTGTTATCATACCAATACCTGATCTAATACACACTCACATGCACTCACATACACTCATACACACAAACACACACGCATTCACTCACTTACATATGCACGCTCATGCACACACAGACACGTGAGCATACGATTAGGCAGTAAAAAAAATTTTTAAGTCTGCACAAGACCTACAATTCTTTTCCTCTTATACGGGGTGCCTAGTGGAGGATCGGATCTGGTCAGGGCGGTTTGCTTACCTGGTTGAGGGCGCAAGGCTATTGTGAAACAAGCCGATACGCCCGACTTTTCACCTAAAAAATGAACACGTTTGTTTTCTGGCGACGAGTGGGGCGATTGCCCCCGAATTGACCCGATCGGATCCCATCTGCAATGGGCACCCAGTATTAGGCTGTCTTATTCCTTTAGGCTTCATATCTTTTGTTCATTGCTGGATTTTATTCCACAAAACGAGTCAATTTCATTCAAAGTTGAGTTCAAGACTTCATGGCAGTAGGGAAAAACGCAATGCAATTGAGATTGTTTCCAGCCGTGAATAATATTGACATCATTTGTACCTCCTCCTCCTCCTCCTCCTCCTCTTTCTTCCTCTCCTCCTCCTTCTTTTCGATGGCATCACTCTCGAAGGCCGCCATCTATCAAATACTGGTCCACCCTGTTTAGTTCTTCTGTTGGCCCGTACAGCTTCTCTTTTAAGATAGGAGTTGCCACATCCTAATGGCACTTTGTTGGTACAGACAGTTTCATCAGATTGGACTGCATGTTGAATGGTCGTCGCTGTATTTTATCTGGTTTCCATGTGTGTTTGTGTCTGTGTGTTGTATTTTAACTACCTTATTATGTTTCTGTAAAGTTATGAATGACTTATTTGACTATGTGTGTGCGCCCCC